GGGGGGGGGGGGTGGCGGGGTGGAGGGAGACGGGGGGGGGTGGTAGAAGTGGCGGTGTCCTTTAAAAGCGCTACCCGCCAGCCGCGGGGAGAGACGCAGCAGACAGCGACCACCAGCACCACCAGCAGCGTGGGGGGCTCCTGCCGTGGAACGCCAACCACGCAGCAGGGCGCGGCGTCTCCGTCTCTGCCTCTCTCGCGGGCCCACTGGGGGCGTTGAGTAACGATCGTGGAAGCGTGTGAGTCGGTAGCACGCTCAATACGATTACATTTTTTAAATAACAACAACAGCAATAACATTGACTGTTAAAATAATACAGATTCAGGATGTGATTGGTTTTCTCCCGTCACTGAAGGTTTAAAACATTTTTGACGTTTCGGGCAACGGGCCCTTTTTAAGGAAGATCGTGGTTCGGAAATTAGAACGTCTGAATAAATGAAATTGATTGATAGGTGCGACTATGCGTTTGCACCTTAACATCGACCACTAAATCGTAAGGCTCAATCACATACCTTCTATTAATTAGGGATTCTAATAAGACAAGCAGGCACCATGAATATCTCGACAGAAAATCTGGCAGTCGGAGCGATGTTGGCCATTCACACGTGCACGGCTCATTTACCTGCGCTACCCCTTCCGGACCAGAGGGCTGCTAGCAATTGCCCCGGGGCCATGGTCAATTGCCCTAGGGGCAGGGGGACGACACGATCCGGCGAGCCGGCGAGAAAAAATGATGGAGAAGAGGCGGAGGGTGGTGGTGGTGAGGAGGAGGACGCTGCCGATGATGATGAAGGCCAAGAGAAATGGAAGGAGCGCGTGTACTGGTGCCTAGTCACTGCGTTCACAGCACCCATGTACTCGGTCGTCTCGTCCCTGCTCACTCGCTCCGAGTTGACCGTGAGGGGTGAGCCCAGGGGACGACGTCAGGGCCACGCGCCCCTTCTCAAGGTGAGGGTTGCGGTGCCAGTCGTCGTCACCAGCATTGGCATCATCATCGTGAGCATCTGCGTCAATAGCTCAATCAATAACAGCCGTTTCATAAAGTTTCACTATCATCAGCAGCAGTAGCTTCATCAACATAATCATCTGTATTAGCAGCAGCAGCTTCATGATCGTTAGCATCGCCATTCGTATCGGCGGCATAATCACCAGAAGACGTGGATGCATCGAACTGCGGTTGTATCAATGTCGACATGATCAGGCGTAGATATGTGGATGACACATTGGTGGTCTGGCCACACGGCTAAGATAACGCATTTTTACATAATCTCAACTGAAAGCTGACAGAACTCTATCATTTATGAATATTCTGCTCAGACGAGGTCGAAATGGTAGAATGACATAAAACGTTTACCGAAAGAAAACGCACACTGACGCCTATCAGAATGCAGAGCCACACCATCACCCCGCACAGAAGTTCGCTCTCATCAAGATGCTCATTCATCGGGCTAAGAAAGTGTCAGATGGTGATAGTCTGAGAAGTTAAATTAAACATGTTGAAGAAGCGCTGCAAATGAACGGTAACAATGATGCACAAATCAACAGGGCATGGCATGCCAAAAGAAAATCAAATAACATGAGCATTGAAACTGCCCAAGTAATTAAAACTATTAAAATACCGTGCATTGCGGGAGTAACTGATAAACTATACAGATGCTTGGAAAACAAAACATCCGAGTCAGATTTGGCACGGTACATAAAATACAGAAATTAATATCTGGTACAAAATATGTATTACCAAAGCTATCGAGGTGTGTACAGGATTAATTGCACTTGTGGAAAATTATATGTTGGGCAAACAGGACGAATTATCAGCACGAGACTAAAAGAACACCAAATAAATATTATCCATAATAGAGTTTTTTGGGGGTTTGATCACATAAATAAAAGTGTCGTTAAAACCCGCCACCACTCGACACAGCCAACTAGTGAGGGTTGTCGCGTAAACAGAACGTGCCAATTCGTCACTTGTACAGCACACCGGTGTGTTGGAGAGCCAAGCCACAACATTTACAATCTGAGTACGACGTTTCGCCAGTAATTACAACTAGCTTCATCAGGCGACAGCCAGATTTGTGGAGAAGTCCACCTGTTTCGTTCCTTATATAGTGGGCGGGGGGGGATTACTGAGGCAACGTACACTATGCATGTGCATTATGCAGGCCCTTTAAACTTGTCCTTCATGTCTATTGTGTTTATTAAAATACGGCTATTTGATTAAGCTTGTTGTAATAACTGGTGAAACGTCGTACTCAGATTGTAAATGTTGTGGCTTGGCTCTCCAACACACCGGTGTGCTGTACTAGTAACGAATTGGCCACGTTCTGTTTACGTGACAACCCTTACTAATTGGTTGTGTCGGGTGGTGGCGGGTTTAACGACACATTTTATTATTTACACGATTAACCCAAAAAACCTCTTATGGATAATCAGCAACATCATCAGGAGCAACATGAGCAGTGCCATCAACAACAGTTTCCTCAACAACGGTGGTTCCATCAGGATCGGCATCATCAGCAGCAGCAGCCGCATCAACATCATAACAAAAGCAGCAAAAAAACATCATATGCCTCACCATAATCAGCTGCGTCATCATCATGTTGTATCCTAACCCTTCTTCCATAATTGAGATTAATAATATTTGATGATTTTTATATATTATCTTTTTATTTGTTTTTTTTAATGATTGAAACACACCAAGCGCAGCAAACTGCAAAACACCAGGTGTTGTTAAGTAATGAACCGGAGGAGGGCTAGGATGGCAGAATTTTCAACCTTGCTTCAAGGAAAGATAAGGCCTGATGAACGGGCACATGTCACCCGTGCAAGGGCAGAGACAGTGGGAGTGTCAGCCAGACATAGTTAAGGCAAAAGCCCAACCATCCTGCATGGTTTTAAAGTAACGTCAAAATTCGAAATTCAACAACAGAGTAGGCTAAATTATCGATCCTCGCGCTCGCTCAAATTGGAGACCAGGCTGCGAGCTACATCAATGAACCATTGCCCATTTGCTAATCCAATACTGAATGTTAATATTACTGAAGTCAAAACGAATTCTATGACCTCAGCACATGGGCAAATAATAGGGCAGTGTCGACTCAAAGGCAATGGAAGAAAACAGAGGCGCCTTTGTCTAAATCACAACCACAGAAAGCCAGGAATCATCACTGATTGTGTGTTCAGGAATTCCGAGCTAGTTAGAACACGTGCACAGGGGGGGAGCTGATGTAAACAACCCTGCGCGTCTGGATGTGAGGGGGCCTTTGACCTGAAAGTAAGAATAACACTCCCAGAGCAGAAGGTTGGATGACCACAGTGAGACGAGAATAAGAGTGGTGTATATCTCTCAAGGAGGCAGACCCAGCTGAACAACAAGGCTGCGGGGTCACCAGAAGTTCGCATTCGCCTAGTTAAGACAAAAAGCTCAATTATTCTGTATTGCTATTAAAGTAACGTTAAAGTCGGAATTTAACAACAGGGTAGGCTAAAGTTATCGATATTCACACCCACTCCAATTAAACCAGGCCACAAGTTACGCCTACTGAACCATCACCATTATTAAGTCAATATGAAATGTTATTTCCATACTTCAATACTTTCTATACAATTCGACCCGAAGCATATGACAATCAGAACCTTCCTAAGTCAAAATTGAATCGCACCCAGACAGGAGCGAATAGTCAATATAAGGTTGAAGAGGGAAGGAAATCAAGAGCACGGCGAACTGCAAACGTAAGCAAAAAGCCGGGAACAACACCAGCCCAGCAACAGCGAGTGGGGCTTCGACAGGCCATAAAGTAGAATAATAACTCCCGGGGTCAGGGGACACAAGAAGAAGCAGGCAGACAAAAACCAGAACTGACTCCAAGGTTCAACCGCCCTCACCTACTCAGGGGTGACGGAAATTAATGAGGCCTTGAATTAACGGCAGGCAACAACAACGGCGAGCAGAGATAGGGTGGGGCAAAGACTGCGGGCTATGGAATGCAACTTCGTGTCAGTAAAGCCCTGACAAACAAGTTAAGTTAAAGACATCACAATACATAATATCGCACATAACATCAATGTTAACGCTATTCACCGTAAACTATATTCCGCTTATATAACCATCCAGGCACCAAGGAATACGAATTCCTAGGATCAAGAAACTTACCCCTTAACCTAAGATATCGGAAATAAATTAATAGTAATAAGTATATGCATGAAAGACAAAAGTAAAACTTATGGAAAAGCCAGGATAACGGGATGAATCACCACCAGGTCGAATATAAATACATAATAAAAAAAAAAACAATGTTAAACCCAGGGTCGGAGAGAAAGGGAGATCCCGGCCGTCTTTGTATCCCCGCAGCGCGGGATAGGAGTGTGTGTACGCTCGGGGAAACACCTACACTTGGGTCGGGAACCACGATGGGAAACGACAGACCTTAGGTTACATACAGAATCATAACTGTGAAATAGTAAGGGACAAATGTTAACTTAAAACTTTTAACCATTTCTTTGTGCGCCGGGTCGGAGAGAGTGTTGCCCCTCCCCCCAGGTTGTGCAACACGAACAAAGACGCCTATGAGACGATTTGTAACGTCTGTGTTTTGGGTTCATGAAGAAGGCCAGACAAGAGATAAATTGCACCCAGACAGAGAGACGACTTCGAGACAATTTGTAACATCTGGTTGTTTGCTCGTGGGTTTTATGGAGGGAGTTGACAACGGAATATACCGTCAGTGATGCACACAAGGACATACGGACACACACATGGACACACCTGCCTACGGACAGATCCTGACACAGCAAAAATCGGAAGCCCCGCCTTGTGGGCGGGATCCAGGGGGATTTTTCAGCATAAAGGAACGGATCCTGAACATTGGAAACCAGTGCGACGGGAGGGTCCACTCAGAAGCTCGACCGGGAGGGTCGACTCAGCAGGAGTGCGACGGGAGGGTCCACTCAGAAGCTCGACCGGGAGGGTCGACTCAGGAACGAGTGCGACCAGAGCGGGTCCACTCAGGAGTGCGACCAGAGAGTCGACTCAGGAGCGAGGGCGACCAGCGGGTCGACCCAGGAGCGAGCTCGACCGGGAGGGTCGACTCAGGAGCGAGCTGCGACCAGCGGGTCGGCTCGACTCATCTTCAGCTCGTCAATCTCTGCTGCCGACGGGGGTCTCCGCTGCCGCCGGTGGTGAGCGTCGCGACTTGGCGACGATCCAGCGCTGCACGCTACGAGCGAGTTGTGGGCGCCACCTACCGACCGGGTTCCGAACTGCGACAGCGTATCAACAGCCATCCGAGCCAATTCACCACGGTGACAGGGGAGCGCCTGATACGTATGACGCGCACCGCCCCCTCACCACACGACCACCAGGCGTCTGTTTGACATAAAGAATCGACTCCGAACACTGACTATTCAAGACAACTCTTACCACTCAAACACACTCGAACCCATAAGTCATCCGTGGCTGGGAAGGCATCACAACGAGACCGAGTGGTGGCCATCCGTCGTTTATAAGAGTATTCTTAATTTTTATCTTTAATATTTAGTGGGCTGTACTCTTAATCGCATAAATTCCCAACAGATCCATCAATACGAACTGATTCTTGGCACCTCCTTCCGCCGAGCCACGCTCACGTGGGGAGTGGTGGCCCACCGGATCCTTATCAGGTGATCTGGTCCCCAATTAGTAAACTTGGTATAAGATAACGATCTTCGGAAAAGGAGCACCGTCGCAGGCCCTTACTCCGAGCCGTTCTGAGATAACCTGCCGATGTATCTGTTGAGATTGGTGCCTTTAAGAATAGTAACTGTTTTGATTGTGTTTTTTTTTATCGCCGTATAATCTTTCAAGTATCTTTCAGTCATAATCGCCGCACGTACTCGCATCCTCTACAGAATATTCAACTGTTCCGTGACCCAAGGTGCTAACAACGTGATAAGGGTTGCGTATGATCAAT